CAGCTGGTCAGCAGGCTGGAGAAGGCCTGACCTTCTCATCCAGCTCTTCTCAGCCTTGGGGAGGCCAGAGCTCCTGTCTGATTGTGTCCAGTGTGTCCAGGGGCCATCCTTCCTCAGAGTCAAAGGGTGGGAAGTGCTGGCCTGATGCTCTGGTCTCCACGTTCTCTTCCACTCCCAGCCACGGCACCAGTCCTGCTCCCTCACCCATCCTGGGTCCTCATTGCATAGGGACGCTCCTCCAGCCCCAAGCACTCCACACCCTCTGGGCCTGGGGCCCTTATTCTCGCTGTTCCCATGACAGAAACACCTTCCCTCCCTTGATGACAAGGTGAATCCCCATTCATCTCAGAACATCTGTCACAAACGTCAGCTCCTTTCTGGCTGTCTCCCAAATTCCAGTAATGATGCACTGTTTGCCATTCATGCCAGCGTTTACTGAGGGCCATTACATGCCCAGTGCTGTAATTACAAAGATAATACACCTACTCTGCCTTTGAGTCTGAGTGAGGAGGCAGACATATAAGCATTACAAGATGAGCAAAATCTGTATTACTATGCGCTTCATCTTTCCTCTGGTTAGCAAGATAATGCACACTCATTATAAAACATCACAGAAACGTAAAGTAAGTCCCTCAGACATAACTATCACCAACACCGATATGTAGTACATGAGTGTCCAAGTTGTATTTAATATTTAACAAAATTAGGTCTCAAATATTTTGTTTTACTTATTTTGGACGTCTAGCACACTCTCCTGTCCCTGAAACTATACATGACAGCTGCGTACCAGCCTTTGAGAGTGGGAAGTGAGCAAATGCGCAGCTGTACAATGTGGACTCACCTCCCTGCAAGTGCGAGTTTTGGTCCTTTCCAGGTTTTCCCTATTACCAACCATGCTATATGAAAACCCTTGTCCATCCATCCACATGCATGCTATCCCTCAGATAAACTCCTAGAGACATTACACCTGTAATCCCAGCACTCTGGGAGGCCCAGGTGGGCGGACTGCCTGAGCTCATGAGTTTGAGACTAGCCTGAGCCAGAGCAAGACCCCTGTCTCTAAAAATAACCAGGCATGGTGGTGGGTGCCTGTAGTCCTAGCTACTCGGGCTGAGGGTGGGGGGCTGAGGCAAGAGAATCACTTGAGCCCAAGAGTTTGAGGTTGTGGTAAGCTATGATGCCATGGCACTCTGCCAGGGGCAACAAAGTGAGACTGTCTTAGAAAAAATAATCCAGGCTCGGCGCCTGTGGCTCAAGTGGCTAAGGCGCCAGCCACCTACACCTAAGGTGGTGCGTTCAAATCCAGCCCGGGCCCGCCAAACAACAATGATGGCTGCAACCGAAAAAAAATAGCCAGGCGTTGTGGTGGGCGCCTGTGATCCCAGCTACTTGGGAGGCGGAAGCAGGAGACTCGCTTGAGCCCAGGAGTTGGAGGTTGCTGTGAGCTATGCCATGACACTCTACCCAGGGGGACAGCTTGAGGCTCTGTCTCAAAAAAAAAAAATCCTAGAGACATAATTCTGGACATGAAGAATATAAAATGTTAACAGCGAGTCCCAAAGTGCTCTATAAAAAGTTGGGTCCATTCATGCTCTTACCAAAAGTGTCTAAGAGCACCTGTTACAGACACGTTCTAACACCACGCCCACATGGAACAGGGGGAGCAGAAGGTGCCGACTCTCCCTCTGGATAGTCAGCCCAGGGAGGCCACTCTTTCAGGAGGGTGTGGGTGAAGAAGAGTTTCTTAGGCAGAGGCATTTGGGTGGGGCATTCAGGCAGAGGGAGCGGCAGGTACTGAGGTCCAGGTGTGAAAAGGTGTGGCAGCATTTGAGGCTGGAGTGGGTCAGAGCCAGAGGTCAACAGGTCTTGAATGTCCTGCTAAGATGTTCCCAGAGACTGAGAGGCACCTCAGCGACAGCACTTACCACATCATACTGCCACAGGGGACTGAAAACTGTGTCCTGCCAACCTTGGGTTCTCCAACCCTGGGACTTTTCCCAAGGCATCCCAAGGGATCTGCAAATGTTGATCCAGTCAATGAAGGGAGAGGATCTGTCCCAACTGAAATAACCCTCCCCTTCCTCTACCTCCACCTATCAAGGCAGAGTCTGCTCTCCTCACTGGACAATCTTGTGCCCCGGGAGGGCAACAACTTTGTCCACTTCACCCTTGGAAAGGAGTTGTGTGCCAGAGCTTAATGTGGTGCCTAGTTTTGCTGGAGATGGGTAGAATCAATGTTAGGTTAGAAGGAAGGGCCGAGCCACATTCAGGAGCCACATTCAGGTGATATGATGCTTGGTGTCAAGATGCAACGACTGGACAGCCTGTCCCTGACACTGTCCGATGACGGCACTAGGAACTTAGGCTTGCGGACTAGCAGAAGGATGAGGGAATCTGTGTCCAAGCAGCATCATGGAGACATGAGAATAGGGTCCTGCTCAGAAGCCCAAGCAGGCCAGGATATGTCACCAGGGACACTTTGGGCAAGCTCCAAGAATAAGGTAAAACTTCACCAGAGGAGGTATAGAGTTCCCCAGCTCACAGCACACATGGAGTGCTCACCAGACACCTGCCAAATACTTTCATAGTCATTTAATCCTCAAGGCAATTCTACTGTCATCCTCATTGTGCAGATGAAGAAACTAAGGCATAGAGTGGCAACAGGGTAGGTAACAGGGTAGGAGGAGGAGGATCTGACCTCAGAGGGCCTGGCTCCAGTGCTTGTGCCCTTTCCCACTGACCCCACAGCTCTGGTCAGCAGGAGATCGGGAGGACTCTCCTGGTCTCTGTTTCTTCAGGTATACTCTGTACAGACAAAAGTGACAGTACCCAGCTATGGGTGTCCAACAATGACAGCATGAATGTGTGGGTGAATGGAAGCACCCAGAAGGGCTCTGGGACCATGCACTGGAGATTCCTTCCCAATTCCCAACCATTGTCAAGGGAGCAAGTATTGATTTGGGGCAAACCACCATGTCCCGCTCCTCTGGCCCCATTAACCACCTGCTTATAACACAGGTGCAAAGGTGGATGTAGCTCAAAGCAACCCAGCTATGGTTTAGGATGGAAAGGAATTTTGTAGCAAAGTGAGGACCAAGAGTCCATCTTGGAGCCCTGGAGCAGCAAACTTGTCTGAACCTGAAACCAGAATCAAATGCTTTTGCCATTTGGTTGTTTTTCTGTTTTGTGTTTAATTTTCAGATGACACAAAAACACTTTCTCCTGTCCCTGCAACTATACATGACAGACAGAATTACCCTGGAGCAGTCTCACCTGCCCTGAGCGAGTGAATGAGGGAGGCCCTGGACAGGGCGTTCCTGTAGGGCAGGAGAAGGGAGTGGCTGTTCTGCACAGAAGGGACGAGTCACCTACCTTGGCTTCAAAGAAGTCCTTGGCACCTCTGACGCCCTCCAGGGCAACGTCAATCTCAGAGAGCTTTGCCAGCGCCATCAGGCCACTGTCCTCCTGTAGTTCCCCGGCTGCAGCCTTGTGGAAAATGAGTAGGAACTATAGGAGAAAGAAACCAGAGAGCCAATGTCCACCTCACTGAGAGACTCACAGTAATAATCTCTGGGCCAAATGAGAGTCTTTTTTTTTTAAAGAGACAGATTCTCACTTTATCGCCCTTGGTAGAGTGCTGTATTATCACAGCTCACAGCGATCTCCAACTCCTGGGCTTAAGCGATTTTTTGCCTTAGCCTCCCGAGTAGCTGGGACTATAGGCTTGTTGCAGTTTGGCTAGGGCTGAGTTTGAACCTGCCACCCTCGGTATGTGGGGCCGGCACTCTACCCACTGAGCCACAGGCACCACCCGAGAGTCATTTTCCCAAGCATTTAGAAAGAGTATATGTGCGACGAATTAGTTTTCCTTTTATCTGATTGTCCAAAATGAAAACATGCCCATTTCCCACAAGGATATAGTGAAACTGGCACCCTCATATTTATTGGATGGGGTGTAAATTGATTTAAACTTTTTTGAGGAGTATTTTGGAAATATGTACCCTAAAAGAAATCTAACCATCTAACCATTACTGTGTTTTGCTGTGTAAAATTATACATGTTCCTGGGCATTATAATGTGCACCCATGTTTTTTGCCCAAACTTTCAGGAAAATATCCCTTGAGAAAGTGGCTGGCTTTGGGGCAGGAGAGACACATCTGGGGAGGACTAATGCTCCCCTGATAAACATGCAGACCACACGGCCCTCCTGCAGCTGCCTGCTCCGTAAAGGATGCCCCTTTCCTCTGTTCTGGGAGCCCTTTCCTCCCTGCCACATTGGGGCCCCACACCTGAGATGGCCACATACATGGCCTGTGGGGCAGGAGCTTCTGAGGTGGCTGAGCCTATGGGTAGCAAGGTGGGTCCTTGGGGCCTGTGCGGGGCTCCCAGTCCCCTCTGCATTGCCAGGCTTCAGCCTTCACCCACACGGCTTGCTGAGCCCCCTCTCCCAAACCATACCAGCCATGTTTAATCTTATTTTCTACTCAAAACTTTGGGCAAACGTGCACATTAAACATGGCAAAATATGGTAATTCCACTGCTGGCAATTTATCTTTCAGAAACATTCACACAGGCTCAGCGCCTGTAGCTCAGCAGCTAGGGCTCCAGTCACATACACCAGAGCTGGCGGGTTCGAATCCAGCCCAGGTCTGCCAAACAACAATGACAACTGCAACAAAAAAATAGTCAGATGTTATAGCAGGTGCCTGTAGTCCCAGCTACTGGGGAGGCTAAGGCAAGAGAATCGCTTAAGCCCAAGAATTTGAGGTTGCTGTGAGCTGTGCTGTCATAGCACTCTATGGAGGGTGACAAAATAAGACTCTGTCTCAAAAAAAAAAAATTCACACAACAGTTTAAGTACAAAATTGGCAACGTCCTAGTTTATAGGCATGAAAGAAAACTCAAATAAACCTGTATATACTATTTAAAAACATAGAAAAAACATAATAAAAATAAAAACTAAATAGACTAGAAACTATGATTCATGCCTATAATCCTAGCACTCTGGGAGGCTGAGGTGGGTGGACTGCTTGAGCTCAGGATTTTTAGACCAGCCTAAGCAGGAGCAAGACCCCATCTCTACTAAAAATAAATTAACCAGGCATGGTGGTAGGTGTCTATAGTCCCAGCTACTTAGGAGGCTGAGGCAGGAAGATGGCTTGAGCCCACGAGTTTGAGGTTGCTGT